TTCCTGCTGGTTGGGTTTATTCTCTTGTTGATATTTTATCGCCCAACATTCTGTGCTACAGATTGTTGTTACCAAATTATTACTGCAATGTTGTTAGTTAGAATCAGTAATTCAATGTATACTATAAAGATATCAAATATGCAGATTGCAGGCAGGTTAGAAGCTTCATGCTTCATTTGAGTGCATAAGACTTTTACACTTGATTCAACATAATAACAGGGGGCATACATGCAAGCAAGAGTAAGAATCCCATCATAATGGCATAAAGTACTCTTCCTGCATCAAATATTCTAAGATCGTCAAGGATCTTGCACTATTTTTGCCAAGCATTTCTTTCTTTGGTAACTACTAAAGTATTATGTGCTCTAGGTATTGGATTCTTCCTACTTCGTAGCACAACTATCTACATTTGAGCACACAATTTCTGAAATCCGACCAGCCATATGTTTACCCTAAGCAAAAAAAAAATCATTTACCCATCCTATGCATCAGTTAGTAGCCAGAGGTGTCCATCAAAATTATAGCTTTTAATTTTTAAACACTTTGTTTGAATATATTCTCATAATTTCCTATTTAAATATCTGTATCTTGTGTTTATGTAATATGTAGAGAGCAATATAGATGTAGAAGACGAGAATATTAAAAATAGGTAATGGGGGGAAAATGTAGATGTTACTAAAGTACATGATTCAAACCTATCCAGAGTACAGAACATAATGAACACTCCTACAAGTGTTTTATCACTCCTAAAAAATCTAACCTTGTGAGTGACAAAGTCCTTGGTCTTTATAATTATTTCCTTCTTCAGCAAGAAGGAGGTTTGGGGAGAAAAAATACTTATTCAGCAGCAAGGACACAGCTTATATAGCTTGAAACTTGAGGATTAGTTTTCTCTAACCAAGGAGAGTCATCCATGAAGCAGTAAAACTAAGAGGAGGCTTGAGAATCTGTAAACTTATTTTAGTTAATACTATGTTTTCCATCACAAAGATATTTTGGCCATTTTGATCATTTTTGGGGCATCATGTTCTTAATTCATTTCTGTTACTTGGGCCACTATGATCTATGCCTACTAGTCTTAGGTTATTTAGTTTGGGTTTCAACTTTAGGACTACATATTAATTCCCAAGTCATGCCTAGCTCTATTTAGAGTTTAATTTGATCTTCAGCTTTGTGTTTGTTCATGTCATACAATCACACCCTAAGTGAGACACCTAGATAAATTTTCTTCCTACTTTTAACCTTACTATCCTTTTGCTTTTTTCCCAATATACACATAAAGATCTGAATCCAAGGGTAGATAGCACCCAAAATACACAATAAGAGCATACAGGTCCAATTTTTTTGATAATAAAATAGTTTGCCCTGGACAATGCATGGACATGGCCATTTAAAATTTGAAAGGAAAAAAAAATGCATTGCTAGCTCTGACTATCATGACAAGTTCATTTAGGGAAATTTTTAGGAAAATATCAATAGAAATGATGTTTCATGGTGTGTGGGAGGGGCTGACAAATCAGCAAGAATTAGCACATATGGCATTCATCAAGATATTGTAAATCTTGAAGTTTATATATATATATATATATATATAATGAATTATTCAATAAATTGTCAACTTAATATATTTAATTTCTGTGTCCCATAATTTTGAGAACTTAATGAGTCCTGTTCACCGTGTCTGTGCTTCTTTCTTAGATCTACCCCCAAAATGCAAAATCCAATCCTAACATGGCAGGTTCTATTACCAGTATCCTAATAGCCACCAGTTGATCCTTAAAAACCAACCTTTTGTTCCCAAACCATCACACCCCTCACATATCCTCTATTAACCTTCAATTCCCCCCCAGTACATACCCTTAACCCTTTGGCATTTAGGAAATACTAACAGTTCTGCCGTCTTGCATCAGAACTCAGAAGGGTCAAGTAAGGGTTTTAACTTCCAATTGCCAGTGTGAGGTGCAAAGATATTGAAAATTGGGATGACACAGATTGTGTGGTCTATACGGAGTAAAAGCATAGACTAATGAGGATATGATATATGGTTATAAAAGTGAAAGCAGTAGTTTGCGAGGGCAAATTGGTATTGAGGGTAAAAAGCAAAATAAATTGTAAAACATAAGAGTAATCATCAAGGAGCATGTTGCATCAATTGCATTGAAAATAAAATGTAAAACAACAGAGATTAAATTAGGTAGTCACCTGGTATATAAAACGTCTGGGGTTCCTTCTAAGAGTTGAGCGAGATGATATTTCCAAAATGGACCTGCGAAAGTGAAATAAAAAAAATAAAAAAATAAAAATAAAAAAAAAGAGAGAGAGATTAGAGAAAACAACGGAATGGAAAAGATTCGAATTTGCGGGCACCCAGATAACAAAGGGGAAGAAGATAGGTGTGGGTACCTGCGCAACATGGCAGTGGGAAGAGGGTGTGTTGAGATTTAGAGTGCAGAAGTGGAATGGATCGAGTGGGAGTGTGGAGGGAATGTTTGACGGAACCCCTGCTACAACAACACGGGTGCAACTACAACCTTATTTTGGCTACACCGATTGAATTCACAACAATTTTGCAGGGGTGTTCTGTCATCAAACGATCACATATCACATGACCCGTTTTAGTTCTAGCCCAACCCGAATTCTTTACCAATAAATCACACCAATTATATATATATA